TCATCATGCCATTGACATGTTTAACTCGGCACTGCAAAATCACAGTCGTATTTGTTGTTCTTTTGCTGTGTGTCTGTGTCAAGTTTTATGTCAGTGTTATGCTGACTTCATAAAGTGAATCTGTATTTTAAGCTCTTGTTTTTATATCTGGAAAAATATATGGAATTATCTGCTTTGTAAAGTCTGAAAGTTGTCACTGGTGAAGTTTTCAGGCAATGGAAAATCTTTAGAGGTAATTATCTTAGGGTCAGGTAAAATTTCATGAAAATATCCATTTAATTCAGTTTTTGAAAATTTATTAGCACTGTATTTAAAATATTTTATTGTTTGTTACATTTGTTTTTATTTCATATACTTTCTATTTGTAATTTCCATTAATGTTCTTTCTTTTTTCTTCTGTTTCTCCACATGGTTTTGAATTCAGCATTTAAAAAAATTGCATCTACTCAGATGTTTATCATTTTCACTTCTTTGCGGAGCTTTAGGATATATTCAAATTAAGAGATAATTTGAAATATAGGACTGTGAATATTGTAAGTAGCAAACACAGGCTATATGGTAGAAAAGCATATGGACCAGGCTAATTGGACAGTGGAGGCTATGGTGGGATGGGGGGTGAGGCTGGTGAGAAAAACTCTGAGGAAAAGGAAATAAGCTTCAACTCTGCCCAAATATTTGTTTCAAGCCAACAAAGTTGGATTAGCCCCAATTCTGTCTTCGGTTGGACACAATATATGATTCGTGTATTTTCAGAAAAAGAAAAAAATCCACCCATAGGGTAGAATCTAAGCATCTATTTTCCATTCCAGTGACAATCAGAAGTCATTCTTCACATTTATTCAGCTTTGTATTTGCCTGTGAACAAAACTGAAGCTGGCAAAAGATGGTTCATGTGAATTACTTTGTGTGTGGGGGGGGTCTCTGCCTGCAGGTCCTCCCCGGCCGCGAGGGACGAGAATAAGTCTACCAAGACATGATCTGCTTGGGGAGGAAAGGTGGCCGATCTCTCACAGGAGAAGGGCCAAGAGCCTTTTCCTCAATGGCTTTTATTGGGTTCGTTTACACAGGAATTCAGGTAAAGCTCATTACTTGTTGCCGGGAAGTAAGGATCAAATGACAAGGAACTCTGAGGGCCTATTTTGAGTCAGGGTTAGATAGCTAAAGAGCTGTAAAAACTTTAAGGAACAAACTTACTTCTTCTTTGGACCCTTATCGTTCAACTGAGAGCATTCTAAACAAAGCAGGTTTAACAGGATTGTACATATTCTTTCTTAGGCCTGATCACCCGGGGAACCCGCCCTTTTCAGCAGCGGCACCACCCTGTCATTGTTTCAGGCTTAGGTGGAGCAAGGGAAGTAAGGCAGCCAAGAGATTAGGAAATTCTCTTGCAGACAATGAGCACTCAGACTATTTCAAAGCCGAAGGGTGAGAACCCATCACCTCCTTTTGCTGTAGCCTCCAAAGTCCTTCCTTGGGGGCCTCCCACGTGATCGTGCCTGTCTTAGATTGTTTCCCCCTTGGGGAATCTTACCAGTCACTGGCTAACCGACCAAGCATTGGGGGCCAGTTATGGATGAAGTAAAAGGAGCAGAAGTGGAGCTCCTGCCAGGGAGATAAGCTTTTGTCTCCTTAGTGGCTTACAGTCCAAGGTCGTTCCCTCAGCCTTAGCTTTGGCGGGGGTTACAACCTCTGATACCAGGCAGGGCGGTTCCCAACATTACTTGAACAACAGTTTCTCATTGTTTCGAATTACATTGAGGCTGCTTGCTGTGAAATCTTGCTTCAGCCCCGGAATGGGGGATGATTGTCATTTTTTTCCATGCCCATGAAGTTAACCCACCTCTTTCCCCCATAAATGAATTGATGGCACTTTCCAAAGTGGGGGAGAAAAGCTCTCCAAATCCTAATGACAGCTTATTGATGTTTTAGGAATCAAAAGCCAGTTTACCTTCCCATGCCACCCAATCTTCTTTATGCTTCCCTAGATCAGATTCCCAGGTTACATGGCTTTTCAGTGTTTGGAATACCTCTAGTAGATAACCAACTAAGGAATCCTGGACCCACAGCATTAACTAGCAATATGAACAGTGAACTTAGAAAAGTCACCTGGCCCAGAGAAGTAGTCCAGAGGTCAAACTAATCAGGAGGGCCCTACAGCCATTCGTAATACCAACCACTCCTAAACTCACCATCTACCACTAGGGGGACCGATGGGTGGAAAAGCCCCTAGCCCCGGAGGGGTGGCTGCAGTGTTTCTCCAAGGCAGCATTTCAGGTCGTCCGGACGAGGTGTTGGGCGGGGTCTAAGCTGTTGGACAGGGCCGTCAGTTGTCCATTTCAGAGGGGACAGCACAGATCCTGGGTGTCCTTTGTAGTTCCCCCTCCTGCCCCTCAGCGGTCCCACCAATTTGGGGTAGAAAAAGCGGATTTTGATTCCTGACGCTTGCTAGCTGTGTGTCCCAGAAAGCCCCTGGTGCTTTCTCAGGAGTAAAACGGGGCTGACAAAATCAGCTCTCCCTGACGGGAGGTCCGAATGAGGTGGAGGACCTCAGAGCGCTCTGCCAGCCATCATGTGCCGTAAGACACCATGCCAGCTACTGTTCTGCTGCTGCTCCTTCTGCCTGCACGCGAGAGGAGCCAGCAGAAGCACCCCGGACCCCTGGCCTAGAGGTAAATAAAGGATGAGCAAGAGGGAAGGGAATGGTGCACATTAAATTCTTTCTTTCTGACTGTCGTGAGGCTGACAGCTAATTTCCTGAGGCCAACTTTGATTATTCTTCAAGCTTCAGGCACAGGATTATTTTCATAGGTGCGTACTGTTACTTATAGGAGGCATGTTCAACCTTAGTATGGAATCCTCTCCCTGGCAGCAGTGTTTGATTTCTCTCAAAAAAGTTAAGTTGTTATCTAAAATAAATGGTCAGAACTGGTGGTGCCTCTTTTTGGACTGTGTATGAGGCAGTGAGGTGTAGACCAGACAGCCAGAGAGTCAAGTCTTGTCCCTCCTGAGCTGTGGGACACTGGGCTCGTCCCCACAAGTCTCTGAGTCCCCCTTTGTAACACAGGGACAACACGAGTCCCACCCTCCCCTGGGACCGACCGCTGGGTGGTAAGTGAGCTCCAGTGTCGGGAGGCATTGCCACCGTGGCAGGGGTACCAGACACCTGGCTTCAAAGGCTGGCTCTGCCGTATCCTGTGTGTATGGCGTTAGTTAACCTTTCTGGACCTCTGTTTTCTTATCTGTAAAACAGGGCTAATAACAGTAACTAGTTGAGAGGATGGCTGTGAGGATTAAATTGTAAGTGCAGGTGAAGTACTTGGAACAAATGGTGCCTGGCTAGAGTAAGCAGACAGTAAGCATTAGCTCTTATTATTACAAGGGAAGAATGTGAATAAGACCCGAAGGCTACAATGCGGCCTGAGTGCCATTTCAGCAGCAGCAGGGTGGCTGTTCAGAGACAAGTAAACAGTCTCCCCTGGGCTTTGCAGCTCACAGTGTGGGGGCAGGGAAAGGGGTGAGCTCATCAAGGGTCTTCTCTCTATACAGTCAGGAAGCACCCCCGGGTGCCAGAGTGATGGAGGGGGCCCAGGGTGAAGAAGAGGAGGACTCTGTAGAAAAGTTGGCTATGGGTGAGGGAAGGGTAGGGGGAGCAAGGGAGGGGTGGCAGTGAGGTAACAGACTGCTGGGGACTAGTGTAACCATGGTGACAAGAATTGGGGGAAAATGGAAAGAGACCTCCGTGGTGGGAGCCAGTTCAGGTAGGAGAGAGCCCAGACAAGGGGAGGGGAGCATCTGAAATGGACACCAGGCCTAGGTGAGATCATGTCTAGAACCACAGAAGGATGAAGCAGTTTATATTTAACTGGTCCAGCAAGACAATGCCCCCATCATACTCCACCCATTCTCCTTGAAGTGCTTTGAGGGTAAGTGAAAATTATGGGAGCGTCAATTGTTATTCATTTCAGATTTAAGCCTGCACTGATACACAGGAGCCTAAGAGAGTGGGTCATTTTCTTTGACACAATTATTAAGGAAAGGCTTTTCAAATGATCAGTTGTACCCCCAGTCCCCATGCCCTGCAGAGGCCCAGGTGGAAGATGCTAAGTGCTTCTTGGTACTTGTCCAGTTTTTTTTCCAGTTTCCTCTGAGCTTCCAAAAGCCATCTGAGTACAAGTAGATTCTAATGGTAGTGCCATGTGGTCCCAACTCCAGGTAATAGTTTATAAAGAACAGCTGCCATGAGCCGGGACATCAGGCCAAGGCCAAGGAAAGTGGCCCCAGCCACAAAACTAGGGGAGAGGTGGAGACCAGCGCACGACTGTGGCTAGTCGCTTCCCGTTAGTTGCAGCCTGGCTGCATCATCCTGAGAAAGGGCTCCAGGCAGATGGAGGGCTTAACTCCAGCCCTCTGTGGGGGTCGCTGCGACGGTGCAGCAGCCTCAGCCTAGACACTGTGGCTGGGGGGCGACTGACTGTTGGTGAGGCTTCGAAGGAAGCACGGCACTTTCCTCTTGCTGTGCTTCCGTTCCTTTCTCTCCTTTTGGGCTGGGGCGGTTTAGGCACACCCAGTGGTCGGGGAGGGGGCGGGGGGCAGAGGCCAGTGGGCTGCTGAAGCCTTGAGCAGCTCTGACCTCTGGCACTTCCGCAAGCCCCACAGCGCAACATCTGTCCCCAGAAATGCCCTGGCGGAGGTGAAGAGAGACCGCAACCCCTTTCTGAGTACTCGGCCTATTCTCTTTTCCTAGAAACAGCCCCAGCCCCCCTCCCCCCCAGTCTAGGGCCCAGATACCGGAACTCTAGGTCCTCGCCCCGCGGGGGCGCCTCCGCACCCCATCTCTGCGCCGCCAGTTCCTCGTGCAGTACCACCTAGTCTCCGCGGGGGCGCCCCGTTCCCCGCAGCGCCATCTAGGGGCCGGGCACCGCCTCCCTCCCACAGGGGCCTCCCGGGGCCCCCGGGCCCCCGCACCCCTCTTACTCCGCAAGGACGCACTCGCCACGGTTCTTCGGGCATCGGGACCCTCCTAGTCTCGGTCGCGGGGCCTCGGCGCCCGCAGCCAGTTCTCCTCGCGCCTCGCCGGGGGCGCGTGGGCAGGAAGAGGCGCGCGGGGGCGGGCACTGGCCATTAAGCTCCGGCCCCCGGGTAAAGACGGGAGAGGCGAGGGCAGGGCGGCCAGCGGGTCACGGGAAGCCGGCGATGGCAGCAGGCAGTGTCCGCGGGCGGCGAGGCGGCGGCGGAGGCGGCGGGCGGCGCGAGGAGCCCCAGTGATTGGCACAGCCCGAGCCGGAGGAGGAGGCGAGGGGAGGGCGGAGGAGGAGGAGGAAGGGGCGAGCGCGGCGGAGGCGGCGGCGGCGGCGGCGGCGGCGAGGAGCTGTGCTTCCACCTCTCCAGCCCCGGCAGGACGGGGGCGGCCGCCGCGGGCCTGAGGTGGGGACGGCACACAGCTTCGCCGCGCGCACCCCCGCCCAACAGCGATCCGGACTACCCGAGGCGAGCGGGAAAGCGGCAGCGGCAGCGGTGGGAGAAGGATGCAGGGGAAGAAGCCGGGCGGCTCGTCGGGCGGCGGCCGGAGCGGCGAGCTGCAGGGGGACGAGGCTGAGAGGAACAAGAAGAAGAAAAAGAAGGTGTCCTGCTTCTCCAACATCAAAATATTCTTGGTGTCCGAGTGCGCACTGATGCTGGCGCAGGGCACGGTGGGCGCCTACCTGGTGAGTCTCCGTGCCAACTCTGCTGCGGAGCCCCTTCCCCAGCCCGGCGCCCGGGCTGCCCGCTAGCATGAGGAGGGGACGAGCGGGCGTGACCTCCGCCCGGCGTGGAGGTTGGCGAGTGGTGCAGAGGCGGCTGCCGGGGGAGCTGCCGGCCGGGGCCGCTGGGCGAGCCAGGAGCGGGCGGGACCGCGGATGCCGGCAGCTGTTCGTGCGGCCGGCGGGAGCTGGGGGGATTCGAGACGCTGCGGGCAGGTGGATGTGAAACCTTCCCCCCGCCCCCCCGGAAAGTGTAGCCAGAGGGCGAGTTCAGGAGCCCCCTTGGAGAGGAAAGGCATCGCGGATTTCAGGTGACCTGCACATGGGGAGAAAAGCCAGTTAGCATCCTGCGTCCTCTCCTCTCCATTCCGTCTGCCTGGGGAGCAAATCCATTATGCATCATTTTCTCCGGGCGTTTTCTCCATCCGCCAATTATTGGGGTGGGGGGCGGGGGTTAACATCTTGGAGTAAAATGCTCCCGAGTGTGGCCTGATCCAAACCAGGGCTGCTTGGGAACTGCCCGTCTCCGTCTCCCCGCAGCCATCTCTCAGCGTCTGGAATAAAGTTACCATACCTGGAGAGCAGCTGAGAGTTTGTGTAGTAGTTCCCGCTGTCCAGTCTTAGACCTAAATTCCCCACCGTCGTCTCTCGCCCGCAAGGGGATTGCATCATTTTTCACAATATATGTCTATTTCATTTGCCTACTGAAAGGGGATATTGATGCTCAAACGGCTCAGGGGTACATAACAGAGCGGAGGAAACAGCTTGTAATGACTCAGCACTGTCGAATACCCACTTTGCCGCTTTCCCGTGCCCCTCGCAGGTGGTCCCAACTTGAGTTCCTGAGAGTGCACGTCCAGACCTAAGTATAGTCTTGCCTGGACACGAGAAGATTTTTCAGAATGTGTAGTGTTAAATCACGACTTGACTATTGACCTGAAACTGGAATCAAATGCCACAGACTTTGGGTGTTAGTGAGCAAGTTTGATGAAGATAGAATTGGACAAGGTTTTGGCTACTGGATAACCGTGTCCAGAGATAGACCTGTGCTCTCCCTGGTGGTGCCCCTTATCCCTTCTTGCTGGCCATTGGGCTACAGTTCATGAGGGCCAGATGCTGAGTGCCTTGTACCATTCATAACCCGTCCCCTGGGATGCAGGGCTTGCTGTCAGAAGGAGGTACGAGCAGGCTTGGTCCGTGTGGGGGTGAAGCCAGTTGCGTGTTTCTGATAGAAGATTGTTCAGACTCAGCTCTCTTCCTGGGACGACAGAAGTGCAGGGCTTCTGAAAATCAGACTGCATTTCCTCTGCCCCTTGCGAGACGAAAGGCATTGGCATACCTGTCTCTGTGCTCCCATGACTTGTATGCTGCAGAGGAATCTTGTAACCAAAAGCACTTTCTGTTTCCTGTTTATATTTTTGTTTTATAAGAGGTACTTTTTTAATGGTTACTGCACACAATTGCAGACAGTACCTGTGGCCTTTGCAATGGGGGTTAAACGAGAGCCGTGTCGTGTGGGTCAGTTTATTAGACCTTCCTTGGAGGGAATTTGGCTGTAGAGTAGATACATATATTACTACGATGCACATGAACATTAGTAAGCATGTGTTGGTTTTTGCAGGAGCACAAACAGAGTATATAATTCCTAACCAGGTGGGTCTGTGTTTAAAAGAGGGCCATCAGTGTATCAACGGCTGCCCCCAGTTTAGCAGTTAGTTTCAAACCGGTTTTGTTCAGTAGAGAGCAGCATTCATCATGTGCGGCAAACACCAACATAACTTTTCACACTGTGAGTGATAAAGGCATGGGCTTAGGTTTGGCTCACGGTGATCTAAGGGTTTTAGAAAGAAATGAAGCTGGACTTCAATCAAATGAGTGGCCTAAGGTCCTTTAGAACGTTAAGAAGCAGAGGGCTGGTAGAGTGGAGGACGTATAGAGGCGGGGTGGGCGCCCGGAGATAGGAAGTTCACTGGAATCCTGTAATAGGCAAGTGGCAGCCAGAGAAATTCAGTCCACCTGGTGGGGGCCTCCTGGTACTTACACCCTGGGCTGGTGAAAAGCCTGGTTCAAGGGGTAGGGAGACAGGAATCAACAGGTGACTGGCAGAAAGCAGATAAGGCCCAGGAAAGGACAGGCCTGGGAAATTGAATTCATTTTGATTACTAGGAGTGGAGACATAAGGTGCTCAGGGCATTGCCTTGCCTGGCTGCCCTCGACTCTCCGCTGCCATCTGAACCTCATGAAAATAAATAGTTTGTTCGCCAGGGTTGACTGAATCAGCTTGCTCTGTGTTTGCTCTTCTGGCGCACTTGGGAGTTTTCGTCTGTTATTTGGCAGGTGGAATAAAAAGTTACTCCTTCAGCTGTGTAGATTTTGTTAGGGATAATTTAGAATGAAAGATTTCAGGGTGTTTGCAGGAAGGCAGATTTCTTCCTTTTAGTTCCTCTCAGGCTTGCTCAGGAAACCTGAAAACCCGTGATTATAGGTGATCACATATGCAGGGCCCGTGTGCAAGGTGTGTGTTCTATAGGATTGCAAATTCTATGCCAGCGACATGATTTCCTACTTGATTCCAAAAGTCTATGCAGCTACCTTTTATTTTGTCTCCCCAGGTGCCATTTATTTTGCATATGGAGGCTTCATTTCATTTTTCCCTCTGTTTTCTCTGAAAAGGCAGATTGCCCAGTGACTGAGTGACACAGGTACCGTCTTCCCAGCTACGGAACAGAACCAGGAAGCGGCCTGTGGTTTGAGAAGCAACTTTGAAAAGCAGGACTCGGGGTGTGTGTGTGTATTCCTTTAAAGAACCTGCCCAGGGTGGGAGCTCCTGTGTACATACGAGAAAGCCACCAGTTGTTAAGCTAGCCAGGGGACCAGTGAGTGCCCGGCGGGGTGTCGGTGGTCTCCCAGAGGAGTGCAGAAGAACACTGACGTTGACCCTGAAGCCCAGGCTTAGTGATAACATGGATAAGGGGACCCAGGTAAAAGCAGCTGGGGCCAGCTGAGGATTCCGAGATCTGTTACTGTTCGAAATATTTTAATTGGAATCATGTTTCAGATCATGTTTCAGACATTATAATTGGAATCGTGTCAACAGTCCTAGGGATGTTCTCTCCTAGTCACTTAAACTGCTTGATGGTCTACAGAATACTTTCTCAGGGTGAGAAGAGAGGCCCACTCAGTGTGATCGTCACTGTATGCGGAATACAGCATACGATTTAATTTTCCTCTGCTTGGGTCTCTGCTTAGAGTGGCTCCAGTCTGAACTCGCCCACCAGCAAGTGGTAACACCTGCCCGAGTCGAGGCCGTTCTGAGCGTGCGTCACTTCGTGTGCACTTTATGGGGTTCTGCGGACACCCACTGAGGTATTTCGAGCCACTCGCCGAGGGTGGGGCTGTACACAGAGGTCCGTGTGCGCTATCAGATCACTGAGGCCTGGAGCAGAGAAGGGTGTGTTGTCCAGGAAGTTAGCGTTTCTGCCACCTCTGGACAGCTGCGATCGATGCTCACGTGCAAGTGCGTTTGAATTTCCTCCGGATGAAAACTTGACAAGACCGGTTTCGTCTCTCCTTGGGGCACACAGGTGGTCTCTCCGCACCGGTGGTGGGCATTTCCCTATGTAGAGTTGTTCAGAGCTGACATCTGAGGTTGCGTTGATGCGTAGAGAGATGAATATCTGAGTGTGTTTAACAAGGTTCCAGCTCACTGCTTCATAGTCAGTCGCCTTGTTTTCCGTCGGGCCTGAGAGCGTCCAGTGGGCTGGGGATTAATGGATGAGCAGAAAACGCTGGATGTATTAGTTTTTTCCTAAAGAAGCATCATTTTGAAGATGGGTTTTTGCATATCTAACCCAGAAGCAGACAGCTGAGAGACATTTTTGAAGTCCTTGTCAAATTAGTATGATGATGACTAAGGCAACTGTATTTTACTCAATCAAATTATTTTATACACTTGTGGTTTACTCAAAGTGACAAATTCCCCGCCATTTGCATAATTACTATGTAGCCCCAGGTAGTAAGAAATAAAATTACCTTGATTTTTTTTTCTTACAGCTTGGTTGAAAATGTTTAGCTAGTAATTATTTAGAGGAAAATAATATTTCTGAAAATGCCTTTCAACCAGCTTTGTGTAAACACCTTAGTTTCTGTGGAGAGGTTTTCGTTTGTGTGTTTAACAGCTGAACAAATCAAATTAGTTGTAAAGCGAGTGAGATCCCTTCCCTGTTTTGTAACTCGCTTCTCCGTTTTAGACGCCCTGTGCAGACGAGGACCCGCAGACGAGGACCCGCAGGCGTCTCCGCTGGGGCAGTGCCTTGCTCATCCATCGTTCAGTATTTAAGCTCGTCTTTTTGCCTGCGCCCGGGAGAGCATTGTTTTGTTTTAGGCTGGGTACGTTTTCTCCTGGGCAGAGGGCAGCTTGAGCAAGAGGGCCTCTGCGAATTTCTCTCGCTCATCTTTAAGCAAGTTTTGTGGGGCCACCTTGTTCTGGGGCCGGGTCACTTAGCAGACTGGCCCTGGGGCAAGTGTAATGTAACAAGCGGTGATGAGGGTCCGGCTGCAGTTCCCGTCGACACGGGCCTTGAATAAAGACACCATCTGGGATAGTATTGGCTGGTTCCAGAGCCGGAGCAGAGGTTGGCTTTGGTCTCAGGGTCTGTGCCAGGCCTTCTTCAGAGGGGCCTGGGAGGGGCATGACTCATGCAGAGCTGACCTTGGTTCTTGGCTTCCCGAGGGCTCCCTGAGGTGTCAGGCAAGGAAGGCGGGGCCTGCCAGGTCACCAGGGGGAGGCAGGTATGCAGAAGCTGCTAACAACTGTCTACATTTCTTTAGCACCTTACTTCCAACTTCACGAACACATTTAACTTGCACAGGCTTAACTGCATTTAATAACCACATTCCTCCTCCAATGCAGAGAAAAGGACAGCATCACTTCTACTAACTTATAATTTGTTTTGTGTGGTCCA